CTACCATTCCTTGAATAATTTTACATTTCTTAGTAATTTTCAATTAAACTTGTCTGAGCAGAAAGGTTTCACTCATATCAAACTCCTTCAAGTTTGTGGAAAAAATAAAAGATCTTGTTTAAGAAGGGACAGAGCGAGACACAAAAAATAAGAGAACAAACATTAGAGAACCCATGCAGAATATGAAACTTTGAGACACAGATCACTTTAAAAGTAGACTTTGGTGGGTCAACTGTTGAAGAAATGATTAGTAACATATACAGATGGGCTAATGACAATTTAACGAAAACAATGTTTTATTAGATAATAGCTAAACAACAACAACAACAAAATTCTATCAAAGATGAGAAACTGCAAACATCCACCAACCAACAGCGCAAGAATTTCACTCATATAGTGAGTAGCCATTGTTACAAGTTTAAGCCCAAAGCCACAATATGTACAAGGGCTAACATTCAATGCCTTTATATTACTGGGTTTTGAGGTCAAACTTCAGCATCAAGACCATAAAGATCAAAACACTATAAGAATAACTCTTCACACATGTTTGGTATAGGATCATTAAACGACCTTTAAGTATACTTTAGTACAACAGTAAATCAAAAGAAATCATCCTAGTTTTGTTTACTGGGACTGCAATGAGACATTTAACAGCCACTTATGCATATAGTAATCAAAGCCTTAAAGCATACTACAGAAGCAGTATTCAAAGGAATAAAAGTTTAAAGTAGTATACCCAAAATACCTTGCATACAACTTATACTATAATCCCTATTTTCTCCTTCCATCAAATGTTTACACTGCAAATGAATGTGCTTCACTCGCCCCAGGAAGAGGGAAAATCCAAGTGCAGAACGTGTATCAAAATAGTGGAGCATGTCCTTAACATGAGATTTTGCAGATCTTTTACTGTGTTGTTTCAGTTTGGCAAGGAAAAAAAATGAAGACCAGGAATTTTTCATATTTTTTACTGATAGAATAGTTTTAATCTCTAACCCTTCAGGAAGGGTACAAAAAGAAAGGAGTAGAAATCCTTAATATACTATTATCTTATATATTAGTATATTAAGTATACCTAATATACTAAAATTCATAAATGTAGTGTTCACATAGAGGAAGGAACCAAAACATTTGGTTCCTGCTTTATTTGATATTTACCAACATATTCATCAGGTCAGCAAGTAAGTGCGCTCACCTTTAGCTAAATCCTCCTCTTCCTTTTTGTTGGCTACTGTACCAGGATCTTTGGTAACTAGAGCTGGACTTGCTTTTGCCTGTTCAGCAGCCTAGCCAAAAGTGAAAGATGTAAAAATTAATTCAACAAAAAACTGAGAATGCATTAAGTTTATCGTTTTCATTTGTATTCATCTGCAATATAAAAATCTAAAGTAGTCAGAGCACTTCACCCCTCAAAGGAATGTTTTATTAAGACAAGAGAGATTTCATTTTATTTGCCAAACACATTATAGAATTCAAGACTACTAACTGTAAAACAGAACTGAGGATAAAAAAAATTTGTGATACCCTTTAAGAACAACCACAAAATTTAATGTACCTGTGAACCAATAGCTGGGAAAGTAACTCCTTGTTCCTTAAGATTTTTTATCATAGCAGATATTAAACTAAGCTGTGGGTCATTCTTGAATTCATCAGTCCATTCCACCATAAGGGCTTTCAGCTTTTCACAAACTTTTGGATGACCCTGCAAGAACAGTAGAAACTAGTTAAATAATGTAGGAATCTGTTCTTAACTCCTTAATTTCAAATAATTTCATGTTACTGTCAATATAAACTATATAAACACTTTATTTTGAAGTCAAGTGTATCACTAAGGGGTATCTTTATCAGAAAGGGAGAATAGTACACCAGCATTGTGTTTGTGCTAGTACAATACATATTAGGCCCAAAATAAAGTAAAACAAGGTGATATAAAAGCCCTGTATTGTCTCCCTTTCATCACATCTGTATTTAGGGTTTCATTGCTGTTATTTAAGGTGAAAATGAATTTATAAATTAACACATCACACCCTGCCTCCCCCAAGCAGAATACTTAAGTAATTGTAATGTGAAGTAGCATTCAGGAAGTTCTTTCTCACAGCCACAGTTTTCCCAGTAACATTGTATCCTTCCCCACTCCATCAAATTTCCAGTCTTCTAAAAGCAGATTCCATTCCACTTTCAGATTATCCCAATTCTCTCTCTGATTTCGCTTTTCTTGTGAATTGAATAAATCAATGCAGTACATTACCTTATTCAACACATTGCTCACTTCACTAGCAAAATCTCTTGAACAGACTTCTAAATGAAAGATTTTACCACAGTTTGAAACACACGCTCCTAGAAGCTAAAGAAAGAAATATTAAAACTCAGAGAAGATTTTTTGCAATATAACTTTTCAGGAAGGAAAAGTATTACATTAAAAAGAACCTACCGTTAATGCTTGCATAGCAACATGGGGGTCTTTATGGTTTACTCTCTTCATAATAGAACGGAGGCAGTCCTTAGGCCTAAAAATCACAAGACAGATTTAAAAAAATGTAATGGAATTAACATTTCTTATTGCACACGTGACAACAGGACAACACCAACAGCAAGCTCTCCCGATCACCAGTAAATTACTTAGTAGCTTATAAGTGCAACATGAAAAAAAAAAAAAGCCATTAACAGTTGTAGCCATTTCTATCTGTAGGATTGTTAGCCTTCCTAATTATCAAAACTCTCAGTAAATTATGTTACCTTTTGTAGCTAGACAGAATTACTGTAAATACTCCACAAATGCATAAAATCTCTTACAAACGGAACTGTAATTCACTGTAGTCTACAGACCTACTCCTCTATTTCACATACTTATGTAAGAGCATTTGCTTACATAGTGATTACCAACAGCCATTTGTTACTCTTTTTTTTTTTCGATTACCACCACTACATTCCTCAGTCTCTTCTAATCTACAGAAAAACATTTATAAAGAAGATATGTAATGAACCAACAAGTGCTAAAAAATTGTTACACATTCTACATCACAGTCTCAAACCAATTACATACAGAATTCAAGTCTTGCCTATGTTGCGGTAGATAGAAATAATGTGAAAAGCAAATTTAAGAAAGAGTTTGAATAGGAGTTTCAGAGACAGTTTAGCATATTAAAATCTGTGTGACTTTCTGTTATTTTTTTCTGTCTTTAAAGGTCGTGGAAGGCTGAGAGAGGCTGGGTAGGAATTATGATGGGTGTATAAGCATTATCTGTTGAATAGCTCTGAAAAGATAACCCTGAAAGTTTTTTAAAGAGGAAAAGTGAAAGTAAATTTAAACTAAGAGATTTTAAGCATTTCTGGAGTATTTACAGTAACTTCTTTTTTGAAGCAAAATTATTTTTCTATTCAACTGATATCCAAGAACTAACATGAAACTTAGGTATAAGTTACACCACTTCTTGGTTACACTATATTTGGCAGTGTCTACATTTTACAGAAATGTCCACCTCATAGTTAGTAGTACTAATTATAGAAAATGCTGTCACACAGCAAGACTACATATCACTCAGTGTATACCTACATATAACCAATTATTACAAATGAAGGATATAAGGCAAGCACTGCCATTTATCTATTAATCATCCAAGACTTCTCATACTTTCATTTCATTTGAGAAAGAATACATGCTAAAATTTTCAGAAATAACTGCTTTTTTTAACCATTAATTTATGAGTAGGACTACCAATGTGATATGAGTGCAAGCACAAAAAAGTGTGTGTCCATTAATTGTTAAGCCAGTAATTATAAAGGGAGGCTACAGGATCAAGAGCTTAGCAGTTCAGTAACAGGACCATTAGTCTAAGATTTTTTTATTAAGGAATCCAAAGTCTTATTAAAAAGTAATACAGTAACAAGAAAGCCTCCAAGCCAAATGATCTTCCACATGTCAAGCACAATTTTGAAAAGATAAAAACAAACAAACAAAAAACCCACACAAAACCAAGAAATCCCTCAGTAACTCACAAAAACATCTTAAAGAAATAATAATTTAAAAAATTGCTCATATATTTAACAGAAATGATCAATATTTGAGTGTTAATGTTTTAATATGCTCAAATGTTTTAAAAAAATCTTTTAATTACTTCCACAGCAAAAGAAAAATAAAATCCAGGCTTACCAATGTTTATTCACACCAACTAAGAATCCCTATTCTAGACAGAACTGTAATCCTTATTTTCAAATCAAATTAATCACACAATTTAATTTGTAAATTATGAGGAGCACTACACAGAAATCAGAGAGAAGGCACACCCCAGGAGAACATAATTCTATCTATTTATTAGCCATCACTCCAGGTGATGCTATAGAAATATTGGGCCACAGTTCTGCTCCAATGATTCTACAATCAAAATTTCAGAGGCAGTACAGTGAGTGGGAACAAAAAAATCAGTACCGAGGAAATAGTGCAAGATACAACAGAAGCTATGGTATTACATACTAATATATCCAGAAAACATTCACAATAAATTTCAGTTTTAAAGAATAAAAAATAATGTACTTGATTATATTTTATTCAACAAGGCAAAATTAACAGCAATTAGAATCTAAAATACCACTCTGCCCAAAACTTTTCATGGATTTTCAGGAATAAGCTAACCGAAATACTGACTGACTGAAGCAGTGATTAACCCATAAGGAATCAGTTCAAGTTCAGGCAAGCAGCAATATAGACAAATCATTTCTCAACACCCACCCCCAACAGAGAGTGCTGCAATGAATATTTCTATTTTCTCAACCATTGGTGTATTCTCCCAGTCACTGGCTTCATTATTTTTCAGCCATCATTTTTCTTAAGTAATTTTTCTGGAGAAAAACTGAAATTCTGATAGTTTCAAACATAAAGACTGATATGTCTCATTAAGTTAATACAAAAGGCACAACCTTCTCAAAGCCAGATGCAAACAGAATTAGACTGAGGAACTGGCTAGCTCTGAACTAAGTGAGGAAGGCCAGGGGGGGAGATGTTTCATGCTAAAATATACCATATGTGGTCTTTGCTTTTACCTTTTATTCTGCTTAACAAATCATTCAAATTTTATAATGTTATTTTACTCAGAACTGATAAACTATAGATTCAGTCGTGTAAGCATTTTCATTGCAGAAAACCAACAACATGCAACCATCTACACCTTTCCTGTAGTCAGATGATTTAAAATGCCAGTCAAATAGGATAAAAGTTTCAATAATGCTGTATAAAAAACAGAAGAAAAGATTGCCTTTGGTGGTAAAACCCTTGTTTTAATCATGTTTCCGTGTTGAAAAGGCAATTTGCTCATTGATCTACCAATATTCCCAAAAAATGGGATGCACACAATGTAATATGCAACTACTGAGCTGTATGAGCTCCTAAAACAAATTCAGAGATAAAAAAAAAAAGTGTTATCTCAGTTGGACAAACTTTAGATCAGCTTAAGAACCTCATATGCTAAACACGCAGAAAGTATCAACTTAATTCCACACTACATATGGCAATACTTCATATATGCTGTTGCAAACAAGGCATATTATTAAAAATATTACTGAATTTACTGTCTTTCCAGTGTTTTTTATGAAAATTCTGGCATCAATTCTAATTAATTAGATTTTGACATTCACAAAAAATAAAGAAAATAGTCAAAGAGAGAGATTCAGTAGAATTTTAAGTTGATAAAATCTCTTAGTTGGTTGGATTAATGGAAGAAAGATAACATTTTTAGCTATTGGTGATTTTCTGTAACGAACGTATTGCAAAGTGAAAATTAACAGTAGCATTTCTGTTACTGAATTGTAAGCAATTTATCTTAAGAGAAAATGTAGGACTTTTGTAGCATAACAGGTTTCCCACAAATACTTTGGATGCAAAAAAGTTGTTGGAGCACCTAAATGAGACAATGTGCCACGTAACACTGTGGGACAAAAAGTGCCACTAAATGAAGAATAGTCCTTCTAGTCTTCTACGGCTTCAGCAGTAAGACAATCTACATCTAAAAGGCTGCAGGCATGCAATGGAGTTTACAGACTGATACAAAGAAAACCCATAAAACAGAGATTTTATAATCTAAATTTCTGCCAAGAACAGTAACAGACAGTTTGTATTGGATCAGAATTGGTTAAAAGACTAAAGTAGATCCCAGTTGAGACGACTAGCATCCTTGCCACAGGAACTTAAACTGCAGGAGAATTTCAAACAGCATAGCATATCTGATTAAACTTCTTAGTAGGGAACTCTGTCTTGCTTTACCTTGCCATGGCATGACATAATCCATCAAAACAAAGAAAATCCACTATCAGCAAGTTTTAACAGAATCTGAATTTAAGCAATGAGTCAGCTAGCACCTTATTACAAGCAGGATAAATATTACAAAGGTCAAAGTCACAACCAGGATAAAATCATTGTTTTATTAAAAACAAAAAAAACCCCACAAACACACACACAAAAAAGACACCACCAAAAAATCCCACACAAATCATATCAGAAATTCCAGCTGTCCCAGAGAAGTTTAGCTGCACATTACCAGAAGATCTCTAGCTTTGTATGTACTCCCAAGCAGCTGTCTCTTGCAGGTATACACATTTGAGCACTGTTCAGACTAACCTGTTGTGAGACTAAATCTTGCCTGTGGAAACGCTTTCAGGGATTAAATAGAATACTGAAGCCTTCAATAATATTGTTACAGGCTCAGCATCAACATGCTCAAGGAAAAGAAAACCAGTTTTACGTATACAGACTAATATGAAATGTCATTAACTTGTTAAGTTAAGACAAGTTGTTATCTTAACTACAGTTATACACAACAGCACAGAAATCTCAATATGCCATGCTATTTATAAGTACTCCTCTAGAGACGATCTCTAATCCCAAGGAATAAGCTTATTTGCAAACCTGTCCTTTGGAACAAAAGTCCCAGGTGGTAATTTGCTGTCTGGCATCCCATACTGTTTCCTGCTGTTTTACAAGGCAATCCAAGTCGTTCTCAGAGAAGCCTTTCACTAAACAGCAGCAATGGCAAAACTCTCTTTTTGAGGCTATTCCTTATCTGAATTGTTACACGGAATGCCTGGAGAAGATGTGTTGAAAACATTTCCAAACATTTTTATTTGGTAACTCAAATTATACTTTAACTTTTCATGTCCAAAAAAACAGTGCATGCATAAATTCTATGACAGAACTCGGTAAAGAATAAGTAATGGAAGCATTAGCAGCCCATATTAAGACATGTTTAATTTAATATCACATTTTCAAAGTGCACATTTATCAAAGCCCTGATGTCAGAGGATAGCTTCTCAAAACAACGGGAAGAAACACAGAACCTCATTGTTTTCTGTGACAAAGACACTGGTGAGGGGATAAGGGAAGGGTAGCACATGCTTTATAGTTTGATTTTAGCAAAGTTTCAACACACAGTTGGAGATCATATAGTCTCCTTATCACTCAAACAGTGAAATATGGGCTGGATAAAAGGATGGTAAGGAGGGTGGAAAACTGACTGGCCTCCTAAGTTCAGAGTGTTGTCACCAGTGCTGCAGATTCCAGCTAGCGGGCAGTAACTAGTGGGGTTGCTCAGGGATCTCTGCTGGGACCAACACTGCTAAATGTCTTCACTAATAACCTGAATGACGGGAGGCAGTGCATTCTCAGCAACTTTACTGACAACAGCAAATTCTGTTCAACAAGAGCAAGGGTAAGGTGTTGCGTTTCAGATGGTTTGCATCAGCAAAGGCCAGGAGCTGACCACCTAAAAAGCAGCTCCGCAGGAAAGGAACTGCAGGTCCTATTGGGTGACAGGTGTCAGCAGTGCAGCCTGGCAGCAAAGATAACCAACTGCATCCTGCATCAAAAAAGTGGCCAGTGCAGCCAACAGGGCCAAGGAAGTGATCCTCCCCCTCCATTCTGCACTAGTAAGATTGCATCTGGAGTACTTTGTCCAGTTCGCAGCTCCCCAGTGCAAGGAAGATATTGACGCACTGCAGTAAGTCCAATGGAGGGCTGCCAGGATGGCCAGAATAGAGTCACATACAAGGCGAGATGGACAGTTTCTTTCAGTTTTGAGAAGAGAGGACCAAAAGAGGACCTTACTGCTTTGTACAACTCATTAGTCAGAGAACACATAGAAGATGCAGCCAGACTCTTTCTTAGAGTTGCACAGTTATAGGACAAGATACAACAGACAAGTTGGAACAGGGGAAATTGTAATCAGATTGCAGGATTATTTATTTACTTATTTACTTACCATAAGGGTAGTTGAATACTGAAACATGTTGCCCATAGAGGTTGGGGAAACTCTGACCTTGGAGGCATTCAAGACTTGACACGGTCCTGAGCAACCTGATCTAATTAGACCTGTTTTGAGCTGGGCAGTTGGACTAGATGACCTCTGGAGGTCACTTCCAACCTAGATTATGATTCTGTAAGAAAAATCCCTCATGAGGTCTCCTGGGTTTACAGTGACACTGCTCAAACATATCAGTTTATTTATTCTGTTACATTGGTGAAAAGCTGCTGTACACAAATCCTAGTTTTAACAGCTTAGCTGGTACATCCAAAGAAGAATTGAAAAATATTTTAGCAGAAAATCCATACATTTTCCTTTTATTTGTAATAAATTTAAGTTAAATTGAGCTGTTGCAAAAGTCTATACAAGATAACAAAAATTTCATTCCTCTTATCTGAGACTGAAATAATTTAAAAGTTTGGGGAGGAAATTTCTAAAGTCACTTACCCTGTGCGTGACTGTCCAACTTTATCACAGATGTCTAAGATAAGGCCCCAGTCCTCTGCAGTGTTCATCTCACTGGTCGCTTTCTCTGATGAACACAGTATAGGTAAATCAAAATACAAATTAAAAAAAAAGAAAAAAAGAATTTAACAAAATTGTCAACAAAGATGTTGCAATATTACCACTTTTATAGTGCTAAATGCATGACAAGTCCCTATATTTGATAAATTCATGTATTAAAACTGTTACTCCTAATTCTTTTTAATTTTCAAATGTTCACTTGTGGCAATGAATTTAAACTCATAAGCAAATATATATTTTTGGGTTGTTTTCCCACATAATAAAGATATATCCAGAATATGACAAAAGTAATACAGCTATCAACAGACTTTTTTCTTCCATTTGGAACTATAAAGCGTAATAGGATAAGAGTACCCAAAGCATTAGTTTACTGTTTGCAGAGTCAGATACAACTGCATTTACCACTTCCTCAGTGAACTGCTGTGTCTTGCATTTCCTTTCTATGTATTACAACTCAACAAGGAGGATTCAACAATCCATTAATAATCACTAAATTTTTATCTCCTCATTCTCATATCTGCTTTAGATGACAGATTTTACTGTCTCTTTTCAGCTATAAAGACTGCTAAACCAACGCTAATCTCATATAAACCACTGGGACTCCTTCTTCCAAATCTTTTGAATTGGACAAGAAGAATCCCTGCTGAAGAGTGAAGAAATAGAGAGGGTAGGTGGAGAAAAAACAGATTCCACTCCAGAAGAAAAATAGAGACTCCCTCCCTATTTCTCCTCCAGAAAAGCTTAGGTACATGGAGGATAACAATCAATAAAAGTGTTAAAGGAAACTGAGCTTTACACTGCAGTTGAACAGAAGATTATCTAAACATTGATAGATCAGATCAGGCCTGGAAAGCATAAGGGAATACACAAGCAGTTTCCATTATTCACCAAACAGAAAGAGAATGGGCACAGAATAGTACACAAACTTTGTTTCCTAACCATGTTTCATCTAATATTCACCTCTTAATCTACAAAACACAAGATATGCCTCAGTAATGAGTACCAACCCTCAGGGAGTCTCTCATACTATTTAGTTGCATGAAAGGAAGCAAAAATTTCCTACAGAAACTTATTTACTAGGAAAGATTCGTTGTCCATATTAGCACTTGCAAGATTGCAGAGAAGAGAAAGACAAAGCAAAACACATAGTCTCCAGAAGTTACAAGGAATTATTCATCCCAAAGTTGATGGCTTGTCTTTATGAATGAGTTTCTTTGTCCTACAAATAGAAGTAGGTTACCGAACAAAAATGCAGAAAAGCAAAGCTCTATGGTTATTTGCTTTCAAAGTATTTCTGAGGAAAAATTAAACACTTCCATATACAACTAGAATGATAACACATCAGTTGTATTGCCCCATGCAAGGAAAACAGCAAAGCAGTATAGAGAAAACCTAAATGGAAGTCAGTTACAATTCCGTATGTTCTCTCAGATAAAATCAAAGAGCACTGCTGCTTCTCTTTAAACTGAATCAGAAAACTTATTTGATTACAAAACATGGTCATAACCAACAAAAATATGAAACATTCTGGGTAGACACCGTGCTAACATCTAGCACTAAGACATACCAGCTGACCAAATAACCACTTTATTTTTCCTTCAGTCTACTATTGTTCCAAATCATGCTTAGGAGTATTGCAGCTGACATTCAGAGAAATTCTTTATTTTTAAATCTTGTTCATAAAGGAAACATGTCAACTGTGAAGCAAAAACTGAAAGGAACACCACAATGGCAGAATCCACTCAGCATGCCAATTAAAAATGCCAAAACAGGAGAAGACAGCAATGAGACTGTACCCTGCTTATATCAATTAACATTGTTTCATTATGCCAGAATTTCAGTTCTTTAGTTGGCCATACCTTGTAAATACAAGCAAATGAGATGGGGGGAGGGCAGAAGGGAAGGCAAGGAAAAACCCATGAAGAACCATGCATTATACTTATCCTACTTGTTATTCATTGTTTTAATATAGCCAGCTCTCAGTCATCTGTAGGCAGAATACTCGTGCCACACATGGTAAGACACCTGAACTGAACGCCTTGCATCGAGCCACCAGAGGCCAGGACCGTCTTCTGTAATCATAGTCCATGGGCACAGCAGCTGTACTGCTACCAAAGCCAGCCTCAACTCTGAAGCATCATAACCGCTTTTTTGAAACACAGCACCTGAGCTGCCTACACTGCATTCCCAAAACTGAAAACAGCTGATAAGCACAGTCGAGAGACACACAAAATAGACCTCCATGGAGGCAGCTTACTTCCAGGATTCCACTGTCTCAGTTCATTGCCAGTTCTGCTGGAGCTGGACCAGCTCCAGTCAAAGTGTGTCTGCAAGGTGCTCTCCACAGCCTTAAGCTCCTGCCAGGCTCAGAGCTCACATGGAGCCTCGCACTCTCACACCGTTCACTCACGCCTAATGCCGTGCTTCAGTTGGCACATCCTTCTGCACAGAGCTGAGCAATCCAATGGAACTGAAACTTTGGTCTTTTCCATTATTCTACATAACAGGCAATTGTCTGTACTTTTGGCAACAACTGATCCTCCTTTCCTCACATCATCAGAGAGAAATGGCATGGTAATTGGTTACATCTTTTACAAATCAAAAAGTAAACTAATGCATGCTTAATGTTTTAAGATAACACCAAACTATGATTTATGCTAACTTAAACAGTTTGACTAAAACTACAAATAAGATGATGATTGATGAAATATCTGATCCACATCAACCACACTGATTACAACCTCTATTTTAATTCTCAATAAGAATATTTTGCAAAGTTATCCATGACTACAATTACAAATTTTCTATCATGGTGACATTCCTTCTTGGAAGTTGAACTTAGTCCTGTATAAAAACTGCCATTTGCTTGCAACACCTTCCCCCTTCTTAGTCAGGATATTTCCTTCACCAACGAACACTAGATAGTTCCTTACTAAATTTCAGCCTGAAATTCAGTTTCATTGTGTACTTTCTGTCTTCTGTAGTAAAAAGCCTCCGTTATTCCCTTGGATAATAAAATTAATTGTAAGACATAACAAAGAAATTTTGTCTCCAGAATTTTAGTTAAATTCTGTCGCAAACAAGGGCAGTTAAAAGTTAATGGCATACTGTGAATGTTAGCAGTACGCTGACATTGACTGTCCACAAAAAAAGCCAGTATCTCTGTCAGAGCACTCGTGAATGACTATCACCTTTCACCACTCTGGGAACAAGAGCAACAAAGATGCTTTGACAAAATTCTTATGTTGCATCAGTGTTTTGTAGACAAAATTATGACTTAAAGCTACTTAAGTTAAATTACTTACACTATTATCACTTAAAATCCATGAATGCTTTCTCTTCTAAAATAAGGCACACATTCACAGGCAAAAAAAAACTTTACGTGCATTCAGTATTTGCTTACCCTGACTACCAGCTGGCACCCTACCAGCCTTCATGTACAGCTGACATGTCACTGCCAGCCTCTATCTTAGTACCAAAATGGCCTCTGATAGGGAGTGAAAAACAGACATTTGTACTTAAAGTCTTAGGTTAGGTTAGCACTGCAGACAGAAGGTAACTTAAACTAGAAATGTTCTTCATCTTCCATCTCTGATCACAAATAATTCTGCCATAGCGATATTAATGTTTACTTCAGACTCTATCCCTCCTCATCATTGCTACAAAATTTTATTCAACTTAGTGAGTGCCAAGTCAGGATCAGATAACATTTCAGGTTTTACTAAAACAACTTTTAAAGACAGCACTGGCTCCTTCATGAAACCAATGTTCTTTAAAACTTATTAATTCTATGTCAAACACAAAGGAAAACAGAAGTACATGACACAGAGGTATGTGTGATTGAACTCTGTCTCTAGTTTTCCAAAAGAGCTCTCTCCCATACAGCTATATCACTCAAATTTGAGGCATTGTTTTCCTAGCACAAGCAAGGCCTACAAATTAACATACTAACTTTAACCAGTGCAAGACTATAAAATCTTACATCTCCTCAGATTGTCATTAGTAGTTTTCAAATTGTACAACTCTTTGGCCTGTTCAGGACACTGGTTGAGA